AGAGGCGTAGCAGGGGGGGGGGGGGGTGCGGATCGCACCGGGTGACACCATTTAGGGGGGTGACACCAAGGCAAAAAATAGTAAAATATATAGAGGGGGGGGGGTGCAAATCGAAAGTTTGAGGGGGGTGGGGGATGCAAATCGAAAGTTTGGGGGGGGGGGGTGCAAATAGAAAGTTTGAGGGGGGTGCAAATCGAAAATTGAAAGTTTGTCCGCGGGAAGAGTCGCTACGCCTCTCGGGGGGGGGGGGATTGACACCATTAAATGCCGAACTAGGTGACACCCGACCTCGCTACGCCACTGACCCTATCTACATATATAAAAATGAAAGTATATCTGTATGTTTGTTTGTTCTTTATGCGTAGCTAGATCATCCGACGGCAATAAACTCTGGGAAGCTGTAGAGAATGCTCCAGTGAAGGTTTCTGCGGGGAAAAAATAAAGCTCGGAGGACTACTATAATCGTTGGCTAATTCGAACCAGGTGCGTTAGCTGGCGCCCTGGCTGTCGGGTGACAAGGAGCACACCAGGTTCCATGTGAGCACTATGCGCCTACATTCGTTTTAAAGACCAACCTACAATAGAGACACGGTGGGCCACTAAATTCGATGACTAAACCGAATCAGGGGATGCGCCCGGTGCCCCTGCGGTAGTGTAACCGGTGGCTCCTAAGAACGCCCTGATGTTTTCTACCTGACTACTACGGATTCATGTACATTGAAGCATGTCAAACAGCGCGCCCACGGGCGTCTGGGCGGGAGTGTGAACACACCCACGCCCCAACATCTTAGATCCAATACAGCACAGGCTCTTTTTACACTTAAATAATTTAGTTTTAGAAAATTAGGTCACGCGTCTAAAAATACACGATTGGGATTAGTGATGCATTGGCGAAATCCTTTTATTATTATATTGCTTCAGCAGCATAGCGCGGGATGGGTTCGCTGATACACTACATAGGCAGGGACTGGGTCAAAATGACCTATTTTGTGTTATATAATAAGTGCACATCTGTGTGGCTGTGTGAGGGGGGGGGGGGTGATTATTGCAATTGAAAGATAAATAGTGTTAAAACAGGTTAACTTAATTATATATTTAGACCTACTTTAAATAACACATTAGCTGTTCATTCTGAAAAAAAAAAAAGCTTTCAAAAGTCTAATGCTTTATATTACAATGCGATTGCTTTTTCAGTGATTTATGTGATGAGGCCTTAACGATGCTTGTCTAAGCGAGAAAAAAAAAAAGGACACGCGGTCGTTGAACGGTTTAGTTGTCATTGTGTAGGGGTCAGATTTGAACATGCGCACAAGTACAAATGGCGCACAACTAAACACGCGCTCGGCGGCGACGTCTATAGCTCAGTGACATCATCGGGTATTTTAATTAGGGCTGAAGCGCGAAGAAAAGAAGGGGGGCGGTTGGGGAGATTTTGGACACACGTGGGTAGGAAAAAGGGCTTCTATCGATTTGCTGTTGGGGTCGGCGTGGTCGAGTCGGTAAAGCTCATGGTTGCTAAACCGAAAAGTCTCGAGTTCGAACCCTCGGACAGAGGAGGCTCGTAAGCTGGGGACAGCCACTCTTCTAGGAGAGACAACTCCAAAATTAAACAACTGCTGCCTTGGAAGCAAATCCAAAAAGAAAAGCAGGTTGAAATCGGAGTTAATGGCGCATAACCAGTTGACACGTAACGCTTAATTGTGTTGGTCGAGTCGGCAAAAAGCTCATGGTTGATAAATTCGAACAAAGTTTCGAGTTCAAACCTACTGGCAGATAAATCTCGATCCCCTTCAACACTAATAATTAAGAACGAAGAAGAAAAGAAGATTTGCTGTTCAAGGGTATTTGTATGGTTAAGGGTATATTTAGTTATTACATTTGCGGTTATGTTGAATTTAAGGTGCATTTCTGGATGTATGAATGAATGAATGAATGAATGAATGAATGAATGAATGAATGAATGAATGGATGGATGGATGTGTGTCCACAGCTTTAACTTAAGTCGTATCTCCTCCTCAACGAAGCAATATCGAGGACTAGTTCCAAAAGCAATTATGTTAAGCAAGTTACGAGGATGAACGTAGGCCAAAAAAATTCAGGGTTTCTTTCATGGATTTCCGGAAAAGCCAAAAATCCTCGAACAAATGCAGTTTTTGGCTCATATCTCGGTAACCAGACCACTTAGCGACTTGAAACATGTACCAATCGATTCCTGCCATAATTTAGAACAATATTGCCGAAGAAAGTTTTCAAAAATATTCTTTCGTTCGGTCACAAAAAATTTTTTGAATCAATTAAAATTTGGACCGAATTAGTAGGCATTTATCCAACCACACTACACGCGTCATCACGTTCAATAGCTGCGCCATCACGTTCAATGGCTGCGACGTCACATTCGGTAGCTAGGCGCGCAATGGTTTTTAGTCATGTAACTCTATTGTAAATAAAACATGTAAAATACTGAATTTTTTTTTTAATAAAAAACGTTTTAATAACTAACCAATGGTTTTACTAACCCTGCTCTTGATTTACGCTACGACAGGGCTATTTTTAGATAACATAAGGAAATTGCGCTTACATGTCACTAGATTTTTTTAATTAACTTGTTTTATGATTATGATTTAGATTTTAATCTATGGTTAAGTTACGCGGGGCAGCTGACGCGAAAAAGTATAGGTTACAAAGGATAGAGTTAATGCAAAACATGAAAATCGAGATTTTATTAAAGCTCGACGTCTTACGCCTTCCCGAGTCGGAAAGCTTAGTATTTGCATTTTTTTCTGTGTCTGTGTATTTGTGAGTTTCTCTCTCCCCCCCCCCCCCCAACGAAACAGAATTTATATAGAAAATATACACTTTTACCCAGTGGCGTAGCGAGGTCGGGTGTCACCCGGTGCGGCACTTAATGGTGTCACCCCCCCCCCCCAGAGGCGTTTGCGACCCTTCCCGGGGACAAACTTTCAAGTTTTCGATTTGCACCCCCCCCCCTCAAACTTTCAATTTACGCCCCCCCCCCCTCAAGTTTTCGATTTGCACCCCCCCCCCCTCAAACTTTCGATGTGCACCCCCCTCAAGTTTTTCTCTATATATTTTGCTATTTTTTGCCTTGGTGTCACCCCCTTAAATGGTGTCACCCGGTGCGGTCCGCACCCCCCCCTCGCTACGCCCCTGCTTTTACCAGTGCTCCCCTCCCCCTGAAAAATACAATTTGTCTCCCCCCCCACCCCCTCGAGAAAAAAGGTCTGAGGTAAACACTGCTTTCAGAAGAAGAAAGAAGAAAAAAAAAGTCCAAATACAGTGAAAATGTATAACAGATTTAGGCCTACTGAGTTGCAGGTATGCCAAATTCTGGGGAATCGGCCTGGTCGGGTTGATAAAGCTCATGGCTGCTCAACCAAAAAGTCCCGAGTTCAAACTTATAGTTTACTATGAAAGCAGATCAGGAAAGTGGTAAAAGTATATATTTTCTATATTAATTCTATTTTTATAGGTGGGGGGGGGGGGGGGGAGGAGGAAAGGGCGGTAGACGTTTTTTGGTGGGTGGGGGGGGGGGGGGCGCTCAACACCTCCCCCCCCCCCCCCGAAAAAATTCTACCGCTGTTTTTATACAATGCGTCTTGTGACCCAAATTAGGAGGGGTGAGCTTTTAAAAAAAAACCCTGCCTTGCCCTGGCAATCCGTTGGTTGCAATCTATGTAAACAGTAACTATAATATTTATTGTTACAAAATAACTAAGCTGATTTAATCTCCCTTCTAAAATTACACTAATTTTTATTCGGCTACTTTGATCACTTAGATAATAATACCATACCCAGGCAATCAATAGTCAATATGATCGTAAACTGTGGATTTCAAATTTACATTTATGATCATGTTCATAAAATAAGAGATCGATAGGCCTACATAGTCTAAAATCGCATTATTTTTTTCTACAATCTAAGCCTAACTACACGACAACATTAATTTTGGTCCTTCATAAAATAATTTACATTACATGTCTTTGGCAATGAACGATTCAATTGTGACTATCACGCTTGACTGGGATTCCCTAGCCGACTCATAGAAAAAGAAGGAATACCCTCCACGCGCCAAAACGAGGCCGTAATGAATATGAATCAAAATGGCGAACGGATGTCAAGTCTGAACAACAACAAAAATGTAGAGTGGCATTATTTTTCTTAATTTTTATCTCGAACTACGCAAATACAAAGGGATTATTTTCATTTAGCGGTTTATTATTAGGAAATAGATATCCATAAAACAAAGGTACTTGTTATCAGCGTCTTATTTGTGAACACATTTTAAGTCAATTAGTGCAAAAACAAATCGGTACACAATCTTTCTTTTCGAACCTATTTTCGTATTCGTCAAAAATTTATTTTAAAGACATTAACTTCAGCAGTCGTTTTTTTAACACATCTTCATCCTTATGTGTTGACATGGTTGCTTATTAACCTAAAAATATTATAATTTTGAGCTAGTTAATTCAAGTTTAACCGAGTATTGTTGTTAAATCAGGTAATTTTGTAATATGATACCCGACTCCAAAGAAGGAAAGACCTAGTTAACAAAATCTTTGTAGTATTGCCTATTATCGATAACGACTGCTGTCACTCAGCTTTTGACAGGTTTCATGGAGATCGAGGCCCTAATTAATAATTTCTACGCCTGTATTTTTTTAGGAATAATGAACTTGATCAAGTAAATAATCATGGAGAATAGAAAGCTTTTCTTTTTTGTTAGCCTGACAAAGATTAAAATAAATTCTTGAATCTAGAACCAGCCAAAGAGGTTTAAGAGGAGAAGACTGAAGAGTTACAAACTTTATTAAAATCGTTAGGCCTAGATCTATGACATTGATAAATATTTAATAGAGCTATTGAAAGATAAAAGATAGGCTTATGGTTTTACTTTAGAATGAGCTATATTTTGTAGATCTATTTAATAAGCTTAACTGACAGTAGTGTTGTTTTTCTAACATTTCTAATTGCTAGTTTTACGTTTTTGTTTCCTACTTCTGAGCTACTAGATTTGTTTGTTGAATTGTTGCCTACTTGAACTTCTACTTGGTAGGCCTATATATAATTAAGGCCTAATATTAGGTGGGCCAACAGGGTCGTTTTTACCAGCTAAATGCCTATTTGAATCAATTAAAGGAATTTAACAAAACCAGTTGGTACAAAATTATTTTAAATATGGATGACATTTTCTACATTTTTACAAAAGTTTAGTAATTGATTGTATGAATAATAGCTTAATTATTGAAAATAAATCTGACTAGCTGTTGGTTCAAATTAACTCACAGTGGTTGCTGTTCACTGAAGCTAAGTTAAAAGAAACTTTCAATAAACTTGTGATTTTCTAAAATAAATCTTTCAAGGAGCTGTCCAAAACATTGACTAAGGTCAATTGTTTATGTTAGGTGGTAAAAATCAGAATGCATCTACTACAGCTACATTTAAAAAGGTATTTTTCTTTTACAATAAAAGTTGATGTTCATATCATATTTTTATTTTCAGATTGGACATATTTTTGATGAAGACTTTTGCCCAAGTAACAACAATCATAATTAATTGGCTCGACAAAAGTTGACTTTGACATGTAGTTAGTTTGATTAACTTGTACAGGAAGATGTGAAAGTGGTGGGCTATTCAGAACAAATGAAATTATTGAAATAATTACCTATAGGCTCTATTGTAAAATGAATTCTAATATTTACAACTTTACTATTGTATTTTAATGTGATTACAACCATATGAACATTTTATATGAAGTTACTAATTTAAAAAGCTTGAATGAAGTAGTTTGTGTATGTACACAAATCTTGACTCAGCATCCATGCCACCATTCAAAGTTAAAGCAGTGTCTGAACTTAAGTCATGAGTACTGCCAAGGACACTGCAGATGTGCCAAAAAAGCCAACAAGTGAGGCAAAAAGAATAATTCAGAATGATCAGGAGAAACAGAGGAAAGAAAAGATCAAAACGTGCATTGGTGAAATTGCTAAGGAATTGCCACCAAGTGCAGATCACATTGATCGTAAACCGGTAATTACATTTTGAAGCTTTCATAAAAATGATTATATCAATGATTTTTTTGAAAGTGATACATTGTTTTTTGTCAGTAAAGGATTCAAAATCTACATTTCCTTTATTAATACACTACAAAATAGAAATTTGTTATTGTTTATGTAAAAGTACATATAAAAATATAATATTCTTTGCACTTTCTAATTTCCAGAGTACTTTATCGATTGTCTACAATTCCTTTATTAATACACTACAAAATAGAAATATGTTATTGTTTATGTAAAAGTACATATAAAAATATAATATTCTTTGCACTTTCTAATTTCCAGAGTACTTTATCGATTGTCTCACAAGCTAAAGATTTCATAAAGAAATTGAAAGAACAAAATCAGGCATATGAAAAGAATAATGTCACAGACCAACATCGTAAGTAAAAGCCAGACTGAGATAATTTACAAGTTTAAAAAAACAACAGCTATTGCAATATCTTATCCAAAACTTAATTGATTACTTGATGTAGGCCTACTAGTTTAAAAAAAAAAATTTTTTAAGATATTCTCAAACTACATACAATTTAAAAAAAAAACAGCTTGTCATAAATTTAAGGGCTGATGTTATATATTTTAGCACTCTAGTCAATACCCGGCAATGTTTTTTTTAAATTTCCTGTCATTTATACATTTTTAAGCAAAGCATGTTATTATTTTTATCTTGTTTTTAAGATTTTATAATAAATATTCATTTGGCTTAATAATATATTTTTCAGAAGAAGAACTGAAACGACTGCGTGAGATACATGAAGCTCAGCTTGAGAGAATCAGACAGCTTGAAGAGACAGTGAAAGCATATGGTAGATATAAAATGTTTAATCTTGTTGTTATTTACATTAGCAGCTTGAAAAATAGTAAAAGCATTGAATAGTTTATTTAGTTTAAAACTGGTCTAATAGTAGAGCATTTGGCTGCTAGCCTGAATGTCTTGAGTTCCGACTTGTGACTGTAGAACGTCCCTTATGTTCGGGAAAGTAAAGGCGGCTGGGCATACTGATTACACTGTCCCTTCATATGCAGAGAGCAAGAAACATGAACTCAACATCATTTGCCAAATGGATTGCTAGGTCTAAAGAGGAATCTTAATTTACACATTGAATTGTTAAGTTTATGTTGTTTCAACTTGAATTATATTTTAAAAGATATTACCAGATATACTGCTATCTCACTGAGTTTTAATAATTGGATCTGAGTGGATTTAAATTCTTTGATTACATTTGATACTTCTAGCTTTAGACAAAGTTGTAAAATCCAAGTCCAATGACGACAATGGGTCAACAACAAGCTCAGATAAAGAAGGGCGGCCTGGGAGGCCAAAAACTATCAACAAACTGCTGGAGAAGGAGAAGAATGAGCAGCTACAGGTATAATTTTGTGGTTTTATCATTACCACTTCTTAACCTGAGGTTTCCAGAAGCTTTATCCATTTATCCCATTCAATTTAATTTTCTAAACCTTTTAATGTCTAAAGTACATTAGTAATTTAATAAAGTTTATTTTGTGCTGTTTGTTTGTATATCTGTTACCAAATCTCACAATAATCAAAATCCTAAATTTGTCCCTTGTATACTGGCAGAAAAAAAGTTTCGGTACAACTCAATAATGCAAGCATTTTTGCAAGAACTAAAACACATTAAAATACATTTATTGATTTACTTAGTGATAGGTATTGTTTCATTGAATAGTTAGTTGTTAAGTAAAAGTTGTTGCCTAAATAACATATTATATATAGCATGTTTGATGGCTAAATAGTTATTTAAAATATTTGTGAGAATCAAATTAAAAAATTGTTTTCTTTCCACAGACGACTCATGCTGACTTCCACTCACTGGATGGCTCAATGCCCTTGTTGGGTTCAAACTTTGGTAACCACACCAACACAGGGGGAGGCACCAACAGCACACTTCCACCATCCTCCATAGTTCTTCCAGTACAGTCGTCCAGCATCTCTATCATGACTGTCGCCCCCACGATCCTATCTGTGAAAAGTCCGTCTCTCGGACAGACGAGGAACCAGCAGACAAACCGGTCAATCAGCACAGCGTCAGTCGCAGGGAGTACGTCTAGTAGCCGAGTCAACCCCTCTACGTCCTCGCTTGTCTCGTATTTGGATATAGTTGGCAATGATTATAACAACTCCAGTGCCAGATCAGACGGCACCCAGAGCAATTTGGTTTATTCAACGGCGTCAATATCCTCATCCTCCTCTTCAATACTCTCTTCTGCTTCTGGAGGTATGATCAGTGCCTCAGATCTGATGGGGCTGCAACAGCATCAAACAGCTGGGACAGGGAACAGCGCCAACAGCAGCAATGTGAACAATCTACAGAATACAGATCTATCTGTGTTACATCACCAACAACAAGGAATCTCACCAATGATGAATCTCCACCAGGACGGAACGTGTTCTACGTCCGCCTTACAAACTCTAGCATCTGTGGCTACAAGTTCCCATATGGGAGGGCTGTCTGGAGTGTCCATGGCCAACAGCCAACAGATGGGACCCTCGGGATCCATGATGGGTCTGTCTATGGGGATAAATGGCAGTTTGTCTTCTGTGTCTGTTGGACACCTGCATCAACAGCAGCAGGCGCCTATAATGACCTTGTCCCACCCAGACTCTGGGTCAGCATTGTCACAGGTATGGGCAAAAGTAAATACAATTTTCTCACCGGTTTTATGGTTGTGTATGTTGTAAGAATTAGTTAATACAAGTTTATATACAAGGCTTTTAACAATTTTTGTTTCAGTTTAGTTGATTTTAAAAGCTTGGTTTTTATACTTTCTAAATTTTTAGCTTTTTGTATTTTACCTTTTACTACACTTAGGTAATACACTTTTATAATCTTAAAGGTGAAGTATCTCAAAGTAGTTGTTAAATTAATTCTAGATCATGTTTTAAAAGTCCTATGGTTTCCTATGTAGTATGCAGGTCTAATAGACATTTCAAAGATTAGTCAATAAGTTAAATTAGTCATAAAAATTAAAAACAAAACTGAAAATAATATAGGTTTTTCTGAAAATTATTCATGGCTTAAAATACAAAACTCAAACTTTTAAAAAAGTTTAATATTAAACACATTTTAGGCGTTGTGTAATATGTTCAAAATATCCTTGCTAATTATATCGCCACTTTCTCCAGGGTTGTAAGCAAGTCATCATAAACGGACAAGTCATCACGCTGACAGATCAAAACTTGATCAGTAACCAGCAACACTCTGATGCTGATTGCCAGAACAATTTGCAGGCCAGTAACATCTGCCAGCAGCAGGGTCTTCCAACATTTCAACAGCACCAGCACAATGCTCTGAATTCTGGGATACTTGGCCAAGGGAATTTCAACCACCCTTCAGCCATGGGGGGCGGCTCTCTCGGACCAGCCAACCAAAACCAGCCCCTGATCTACACGTTCAACGACCAGGGTCAGCTTGTACCCCTGCATTCGTCGATCAACCAAATGCAGAACACAGGCACTGGTCTGGATTTTGTTTCAGTGACCGGTGCTGGAGGTGGAATCATTACAGGTTTCCAGAACACAACCGCGGGTGGTGGGCTGATACCATCATCCATGCACCACCAACAGCAGGCCAACTTTTTGACGCAGCCCCCAATGGTTTCCCTGGCAGGGAACCAGGGTTCTAACCCATCGTTTACTGTGCTGCCAAACAACCACTTGAATTCTCTGCCCGGTCAGCTGTTGCCAGCCAGCTCGTTATTCATGACGCATCAGATGTCGCAGCAACAGCCGGTAATTAGCATTTACATTTTTTGGTTTAAAACTTCTGATTAATTTCTTCTATTTTGATATTTTAATTTATTAAGTTTTAGCATTTTAATAATAAAGGTCTTTATAAAGTTTTATATACAAAACATTAAATAATTTACTTATTTTTAAGTTTATTACTAAGTCATAGTATTTAAACAATTAAGATTTTTAAATAGAAAGACAGAATTATTTTAATAGTTAAATAGGTAATGGGATCATGAAATTGAAAGTAGTTTTAGAATTGCTGATTGTTAGTGTAGTGTAAGAGAGCCTTTTATTAGTGCTTTGCATTAATATTTTTTATTTCACATAATATATTGTGTCAGTTTTATTCTTTTTAATAGTTACTACACGACTCATTTTTCTATAGTGTAAGCATTTTCAGCATCTTTATTACTTTTCAGGATAATATTTTAATGATAAAATATTTTGAACAAAAGTAATAAGTAGTATCAATTTAAAAAAGAATATTAAAAGCTTAGATCTGCATTTATTGCACAGTAAATTAGATCTAATTTTATTATATGGTTTCAGTTGTTGGAAACACATTTATTAATTTAAAAAAATGTTTAAGGTCCTGAATCTGGCCGGCCTTGGTGGTCTACAAATGGTCAACCCGTTCTCCGGCATGTTGGTTAACAACATGGGCACTGCGCTCAATGGGGCGACGGTCAAGCTGGTGGGCAATGAGCTGAAAATTGTCCAGCCTGGTGACAACTCCTCTGCCCAAGGTCCAACCCATGTGATGGTGGATGGGTCATTGATCCCTATATCTACCAACCCCCAGACCATCGTGCCAAGCTCTGCACCTATCAACACCATGGCACAGAAGCAGCAGCAACTTTCTCTTGGGGGCAATTCCATATTGCAGGTGAAGTTGTTTTACTTACTTTTAATATTCTAAAACTGTCATTAATAACAATGTTGTTTTTAAGGAGTAAAATTTTATTTTTAGATAAGTTCTATAATTTATCTTTTATTAATAAAAACTTAACTTGTTATTAAAAATTATGGATAGAAGTACATTATTTTTTTTATAGGGAACAATTAGACATTATATAAATAATTTTATTTTTTTGTATTGATAATATCTTTCATCACAGTCTCTAGAAAAATAGCTCATAAGTTTTACAATTACATTTAGTGAAACAACACAACTTATAGAAGTTGATTTTAACCCTGTATTTGATAACAATTTCAGTTTGACCCCAACAACCCAAATGCCCCACCAATTCTCATCAGTGGCCCAGTTACAACCTTCCAGATGGCTCCCCAAATTCTGGGCCAAGGGCCCCTCCACTCTCCTGCTTTGTCAGGGGCCCCACATGGTCTCCTGCAAATGGCCTCTGGTGGCCCGCTGGGTTCCTCGACACCTTTCCAGTTGGGGAACAATGGTGGCCTGGTGGTGGCATCCAACATGGTGGCCAGTACAGTGACCACCAACTCTGTCACGGCCTGTATTAGCTCACCATCAGTTTCCGCGGCTTCTAAAGGCACAAAGGTGTGTATATTATTAATTAATTAATTACATTTATTAGTGACTATTAGTATAATCAGCTTCAAGTAGAGCTATAGTGTGTTATTAGTTTAATGTAAATTCTGATTTATTATGAAAAAATTACTTAGTACATCCAGCCTTGTGAACACACTTTGTATCTTAAGTAATACCACTATTCATTATTCAATTATTACAATTTTCCAGCATACATAATTCTTTGTAAAAAATTTTTTTACTAAAATTTGTATCCATTGTTCTAAAAAATAAAATAATATGCTGATGTGTTGTGCATTTTTTTTTGTTTTGTTTAAGGGTCTTCCACCACTGGCGCCAGCACTCTCGCAGACAAGTCCAACAATCGGTTCCACAGTGTCCATCAACAGTGGCTACCAGACAATTTTACCCTCTGGATTATCTCTGCCGCAGCAGTTTATCATCAACGGCCAGAAGATTGTGACAACCAAACTGAACACGTCCACTGGTCTGACCAAATCCTCACAGAACAGGAAAAGATCACCGTCTGCGTCGAGAGCCTCCCCCATCGTGGCTGGTGAGATATCCTCCCACTTTGTGCAGCAGCAGCAGCTTTCATCCACCACAACCTCCGCGCTGGTGGCCCCCATCCAGACGGCTAAGGCTCTGTCAGCCAGTGATAAATCATCCTCCAAGAGCAAGTCGTCCAAGAGACAGCAATCTCAGAGCCAGGAAGACAAAACCAACAACATCGTGATAAAAACAGACCTGCTCGCCCAGGCCACGGCTACAGCCGGGATACTCATGGAGGGGGACACCGGAGCCGGGGACTACTCCCACAACACCACGGCTAATGAGAATACTTTAAACATTTCGACAGGGTCTAACATGAACCTGTCGGGTTCTTCAACAGAGCTTCAGATCAACCTGAAACAGTCTCCCAGGGACGAGGAAGACGACAATGTCCAGCTCATCATTGATGAGAACTGCACCAATGGGATAAACTCGTCATCCCCTGCGCATTCCTCGTTCAGTCCCAACATGAGCTTGGGGTCGGCCCTGTCCGTGAACACGTCGTCATCTGTTTTCAATCATGACCTAGGCCTGGTCACCAGTTCCCAGCACCAGTCCTTGCACTTGCAGGCGACGAGCGGCGACCTGACCACACCGCTGGTTTCCCCCAACATAACGTCTAGCAGCTTGAACTCAAAGCAACAGAAACTGGTAACGAGCAGTCCCATGCCTGGGTTGTCCTCGGCTCAGCTTCTCAGCCCCCTCTCTATGAACATTTTTGCTAACTCAACCCCGGCTTTAGGAATGAACACTGCAACAACATCAGACATGCAGGTAGTGGCAGGCCCTTTTCGACCTGAAGATGTCATTGCTCGCCTGGGCGGGTTCGGTGCTGAGAACAAAATTAAGCTGAGCAGCCCGGAATCTGGCAGTAAGTCGAACCCTTTTACCACATCTGTTTCTAGCATAGCCAGCTCAAGCTTTGACGCGTCCACACCTTTACACATGTCTATGGCCACAACAACATCCCCCGTGCTGAAAAACTATGTCCCCATTGCACCAGCCCCTGCTAAAAACTCAACTGCTATGAACTTTGCTCACGACTCACAACCTTTGACCTTTGTGGAGGCTATGAATCACTCAGCTGGGGCTGCGGAAAAGCCTGCCCCGAAAGGAAAAAACCGGAACAGAAAATCTACACCTGCTACGCCCGCCGTGACAGTTCAGGTAGTAGTTGACCCACCTGTCAATGAAACTCAGCAGATGTCACAGACTGATGCTAAGAAGAAAGCCCCATCCAAGAAGAGAAAAACAAAAGCAGAGCTGCGTCAGGAGAAAGAGAAACAAGCTAGAGAAGAGGAGGAGGCGCTGAGAAAAAAGCTTGAGAGTGAGGAGGAAGAGAAGAAGAAGCTGGAGAAGGAGAAACTGTTGGCTGAGACCTGCATAGGAGACGACGACAGTTTGCTGCCTGTGCTGAATGAGAATGACGCCATCAAAGAACAGATTCTTCATTCAGTCACGGAATCCAAACTTCTCAATACAGACGGAAGTCAGATCAGCCTCATGGACATGGTTGATAAAATAGAAATTTTCAACTCCGCGGGCGCTGATGGTGAAGACATTTTTCCGTTGGGCAACCAGCTGGTTGACAGCAACAAGCAACCTGACTCTGTGGGCAGCGCCATGTCTAAAGACGACTGCACTATTACAGGTACTGAGAAAGTTGATCCTAAAACTGTAAAAAGAGAATCGGCCAGAAAAAGGAAGCAGGACGTCAGTGCTGCAGTTGTCACTGCACCTGTCCAAAACCAAAAAACTGACAATAAGAGGTCAAAGAAACCAGCGGCCAAGCCTGAGTCGGGTCCATCCAAGACAATCAGCAACAATGACGCTGTCTTGTTTGGTATGGCTGCAGGTAACTCTGATATCTACGACTTTGTTGACGAGGACAACGCTATTGAGTTCTTCCAACCACCTTCTACCCCTGCAGCCAAGTCCCCAACAAAGAAAAGCAGTAGAAAAACCAAAGGTGGGAAAAATTCAGCAGGGGAGGCTAATCCTAACCAGGAAACAAAAACAAACGCCAGTACTGCAAATGTAGGGGGAATAACGACACGCAGTGAATCGAAAAACAGCAATAACAGTAAAAACAATAGTAACAGACAGACCCCACAGCAGTCTGCGCCTGCTTCAAAAATGAATACTGCCTCGGTTACTACTGTCTCCTCATCATCAGCCAACACAGTATCAGCATCGATATCGTCCATGCCTTCACCGGCCATGCCGAAGTCCCCACCATCGTTTTCCCTGCCCCTGAAATCTCCAGCACCCATGCAGAACTCTATCGCAGCCAGCACCCCTGGGTCAACCATGCCGGCGGCCAAAACCACAAACACACTAGCCAACAACAACACGTTCTGTTTGTCCAAAAAAGATGGACAGTCATCTGATAACAATGTACATGCCAGCTTGGAAGAATCTTCCTTCTCTATGGAGTTTCCTGAAGTTGACTTCCATAGTTCTCCTAAGCTTTCAGAAGCTCATGATGACCATGAAAACTCTATGGGACTGCCAGCAGAAACGTTGGCAGATTTCTTCAACCAGCACAGCCCAGGAAAGATGATGCTGACATCCAGCCCCCCAACACTGCCTAATGGAGTTTTATCACCGTCGGATGTGGATTTACCTGCTCTCCGCACCCCTGCCCCACCCATAAACCACAACCATAACCACAATGAGAGTGTTATGATGATGGAGAATCAACAAAGCATGAAAGAGCACAGGTCCTCGTCCCCAGCCAGCAAACAACCCCAGTCCCGCATGCACACGCCCCCGCCACTTGACCCTAAATCTCCTGCAAATGCACACAGCAGTAGCATCTCTTCATCCGCACCCCCTGGCCCCTCCCTCTCCATACCCACTGCATCCTCTTCCCCACTCCCGACGCAGAACAGCAACAACAGCAAACAAAGTAGCTGCATGAACTCCTCCAATAGCCTGCATCACCTCGACGCTACTGCAACAGCAGGGCCGGAGTCCCCGATGCCCTCCTTGAGTTCGTCCTCTCTTGATGCCTTATCTGAAATAATTCCGCTCAAGCCAATCACGTCTGAATTGGAATCAGAGGAGAACGAGAGCTGCGCTCAACAGTCCAGGCGGCCGACGCCTGTCCAGACCCAGCCGTTAAGTCATGTGCCTTTAAGTAATGAAATGGGTCTTGGGCTTCAGCAAGGCTCTCTTTCAGATCTTCAGCAGAAAGCTCAGCAGCGGCAGAACCCACCTCATCTACCACCTCAGAGTAGCCCGCACAACCTAAGACCACCTTCTGCTTCAACCACGCCCCTCCCCTCACCCAAGCTCCACGCATCCCCAGGGTCAGCCAGCTCCGTGCACAGCATGTCACCCGCCGCCCAGCAGCAGCAACAGCACAACCATTCTTGTCAGAAACAGCAGCAGAACTCACAGATGGGAGCCAGCTCCATGCTTGACAGGGTGTCCGTGCCGCCCCTCTCACACCCTCCCCAGCAGCCACCTAACCTGTCGCAGCTGTTTGCACCCCCTGACAGCTCACCCCGCAATGCAAACTTTGCCTCGCCCCCCAGTGGTTCCAACATGAAGCTCAAGCACATGAGCCCGTCAAGCGTCCAAGACCAGCAGAACTCAAGTTTTATTCATTCTCAGAAAGGGAATAGCTTTAACCAAGGTAACCAACAGCAGAAGAATCAGTATTCAGTGGATAAAATTATCGAGCACCCTAACAGTTCCAATACCCCAGGCTCTTCCCGTCTCACAAATGACAGCTTTAACTTTACAAACATTGGCTCAAACGTCACAACAGCCTCTCCGATCCTAAGCTCTGGATCAATGCCCTTGACTTCCCCAAGCTCCAGCGGGTTCTCATTTTCCCTCTCTCCATCCTCCTCGCAACCTTCCTCGTGCAGTGGCAATGTCAACAACACAAACAGCAACAATGGCAACAGAGGTACAGGCCCATCTATGCAACCTGCTCTGCCTTCAGCTGGCCACTCCTCCCACAACTCCTCATACCTTCATTCTTTTTTCCCGCCTCCTGCCCCAATGAACCTCCCATCTTCTTCATCTGCATCATCAACCTCCCACCACAACCTGGCGATGCACCCTCTTGGAAACATGGAGATCCAACACACTGCTTCCCGGCCGTCTAGCGGAGGTTCCTCTGCTCCAACTTATGGAATTGGACCTTCAAGTTTAATGACATTTGGCAACCAGCCCAAGCTTGACATCCCTCCCATAGCCAAGTCCCCAACTTACAACACAAGTACAACACCAACTTCTGGCAGTAACAACAGTTCTAAAAGTTCCAACAGCGGATCTAGTGGAGGTAGCAGCAGTAGCTACGGTAACACAACTAAACCAAACATGGATTCCTCAAACAGTAATAGATACCCAGGCTCCAAATCAACGCCAGAGTCTATTTACCAACAGCAGCAGAAGAGGCCCAACACCATCCAGCATCCCCCAGCGGGGATGACCCACATGGACCCTATGGCACACTTGTCGTCTTCAGCCCATAACAACAGCTTCTTCCCCATGGGGTTTTCAGCATCCTCATCAGCCTCCATGCCACTGCGACACCTACCAGATACAAGAGACATGCCATCTAGGTCCCCTTACGACTACTCGGCTGTGTCTCACCATCCTGCGATGGGGTTCCCCCATCCGCACTCCCAGATCCCAACTGGTTATGGGACCCATTCATCTTTTTCTAGAGACTGCGCCAGGCTTGAGCCCACACATCACCAGCAACAGCAGCAGGCACAGCAACAAGCTCAGCAGCAAGCCCAACAACAACAGCAGCAGCAACAACAGCAGCAACAGCAACAATCACAGCAGTCTCCCCGGAAGCAGTCGGCGCCCAAGAAGTCTTCCAGCTCGTCTGTTGGTGCCAACAACAGCAGCAGCTCCACCACAAGCAATGCATCCAGCAGCAACAGCTCAAGCCACCGCAGCGCAAACAGCGGCAGTGGAAGTGGTGCCTCCACCATGACCCAGGGCCACAGCCCCGCGACATCCACCTCCAGCCGAACCCAACCTTCCCAGCACCACTCCACCCACCAGCAAACCAGCGCTTCCACCAACTCTTCTTCCTCTTCACACAACCGCAGCAGTGGCAGTTCCCAGAAAAGAAAAAGCACCTCCTCATCTTCGTCCTCCTCGAAGAAGAAAAACACAGCATCCCAGCACTCGGGCTTCACGGCAGACACAATGGATGCCAGCATGTCTCAGAATATGTTTGAATCCTCTTTCTCCTACCTAAACTTCCCCACCCTGGCACAAAGCATGTCCCCGCCAGCCGCACGCCCACACCAGGCAGACACCCCGTTCTTGGGCGGCATGTTCAACACACCATCGAGGCCCATATCCAACTCTGGCACCAAGACAGCAGACATGGCTGCATCCCATTTCCCATTGTTCCACACCAGGGCCCAGAACTCTTTCTTCCAGCCCGGTAGCTTCGGCATGAACTCCATGACAGGTAACCACAGCAACGCGACTGCTGGGATCTCCCCTCACTCCATGGGGGTCCCCCCGCACATGTCCCCGTTTGGATTGTTCGGCAACGAGGCTACTGGCCCAACGGATAACATAGGCTCAAACAAGTTTCTCCACACCAACGCCATTCTCCCTGGCGCACCCCATCAGACTATGGACCACTCGCTTCAGCATGGGGCCCAGCAGACGGCCGCATCGCTCTACCACAGCCGGCCGCATTCTGCCCAGTCTCACATGATGGCCGCCTTCTACCACCACGGATTTGACTCTCGGGGCCATATGGGCCAGGCGTTTAATGGCTCTATGGGCCCTCCTGCTTTTCACACCCCAGGGTTGCCTCCCATCAACTTTTCTATGCATGACTCCCACTAATAATTAACCACGACCTTCTCCTGGTCAGACAACCAACCACCCATGTAGTTCACAAATTGTACAGTTGTGTTCAGTTGGATACCTGATGACTGGTCTGATATTGTTACATAAATTGACCTGTAAACAAAAAAAAAGTTGGATTGGAAGCCACTGCTGGATGTACAGTTATGGCATCAAAGGAAAATGTTCTGTTGTTGAGAAGATCTGCTTGACTTCTCTTGCTTTAAGTGCCATGTTGTCTTTTTTTCTCAATTGTAATTATTTTTTTTCCTGTTCATTTTTCAACCTGTTTTGCATTTTTTCCCTTTTATTCATTGTTGACATTATAAACCTTGTACATAATGTTGATATTTGTGTGTATCATATTCATAATGGACATATAATTTTTTGTGTTGAGTAAATATTTGTTATGTGTATAAGTGTAAATCAATGTGATTTTTATTTTTAACCAATTGTACACAGGTTTTAATTAGTACCTAGGGCACTGATGCCATCCAAAATAATGTATGTATCACATATGAATATAATGCTGAAGTGTTGTTTTTTAAATATATATTTATATATACTGTTTTCTTGAAGAATATGTTGGTTTTTTTTTTTTTAAATTCTAATCTACTTTTGTGTTGTGTGGTTTGAAAAACTTAGTATCTCAGTTCCCCAATGCTCTTGAACAGTGAAGTTGCTGCTTCTTACATGCTGTTTTGTTGGTTTGAAAGGCCTTAAATGATGGCATGTTATGTCATTTAAAACAAAATAATCACTTTTCAGTATTTGGATTATCAGAGATATTGCCAGTTTTTGTGAGTTTTGGTATCTTTTCTTAAAGGTTCCAAGAAGTTTCATGACATTTTAATTTTACATAATAATTATGTATATAGCACTTTTAGACTATTGTAATTATACAGAAACATATATATATATATATACACACATAAGTATATATATATAGTTTATAACCTACATTTTCTGGAGTAGTTATAAAATATTTGATGTAAATAACCCCAATAAATTACAGACGTGTTAAAATACCACAACTATTTATTAGAGCCATCTTGTGTAAGGCCATTGTGTACATAGCTCTGCACTGTTGTGTGCTTTGTAAGAATGCCTGTCCAATCATCTGTTTTGTTTATACTGGCTTACTGTGTGAGCTTATGTGTTCATGTCTCCTATTGGTTACATTTTTATCCATGTTCTCTGATAAACCACAGTTATTGGTTAGTATTTTACTTATACAGAAAATATATTATTACATTGTTGTGTAAATAACTTTTTTTATTTGTTATTCAGTCGGCTAGGCACATTTTTTAAAAATAATTTTTAACACTAAGATGAATTAGCGAATAATTTAGGTAACTGAAAAAGGGCCTTATTAATTGGTTTTCATGAAATGTTAAATTATCTTGGAAATGTTTTTCTTGCTAATTTACTTGTAACAAAAAATAAAAATTGCTAAATTGTTGTGTGTTTACATGGACGAGTAGCTAGAGTCAGTTACCATTATAAAAAAAGGGAAGTTAACTACTGGTTGTTATAAAGGAATTGCACAATGTCTATTTCTCTGACATTATAGTTACACTCAATACTCTGACTGTTGGAGGCTAATCTGATACAGTGTAAGTTTGTTGTTATAGCTTGTTTATACATATGCAGGCATAGAATTGTAAATACAGCTAAGTAGATTTGAAGAGATCTTATCATTAATTCGGAGATGTAACTTTCTTTCTCTCCCCCTCCCCCCTCCTCACCCCCATGACTACAATTTAAAAAAAAAAAACCACAGGCATCTCTTTTTATATTCACAAAAGTATTTATTTTGACTTAAAATTACCATTTGGAAAAACTTGAAAATATTTCTGATTTTCTTGTTAGAAACATGAAAATACATGAAAGTTCTCTAGGAAAAAAAAGTTTTTTTTTAGTTGATTGGTTACATCTCTGTATTAAATGTTTCATTAATTATTTATTTAAACTCTTGAATTGTACATTGGAATTGCAGTAAAAATATTGTATCTTAATTTGGAATCTTGAAATCTGCAATATTATTGTTTAGCTATTGTATGAAACTGAAGGAGGTACAGACTTATTACTTTTTTGTTTATTTTCATATCTTCTTGCTTAAACTTCCCACTTTACAGGGTCGTACTTATAAATATTTTTTTTAAAATGGAGAGTAGACGTGCAACGTATGGACTCTGTTACTAGATCTTTGAGACTTGGAGATAGAACTGTCAAAAGGTTTTCAAAATTATTTTCTGGTTTATTTTCATGGTTTAAATCTTTGTCAGGAGAGAAAGCTAACAGGGAATATTTGGAAGTTAGTGCTTTTTGGTTTATGCTGTTTGATATGGTATAGAGGAAATATAAAGTTGCACGATTTTTATTTACTACTGAACGAGAATGGGCTGGGAACTATTAGTGACTACTTTAAAATTTTTTAATGTGACTATAAAATAAAAGAAAAAAAATTTACCTTGAGAACAATGAACTTTTTTTAAAACAGTGTTTTATTATTATTAAATACTTTAACATGTGTGACTTAACACTTTGTACTAATGCTTTAATCTCATTAAAGTTTTAAAATTTGCTATGTAAACATGAATAAAAAGATCTCAATATTTTTTCCCCCCTTCATAAAATGATACATTTTAACTTGTCATAATATATAAGATAACATGTTTCATAGTTCATACATATTAAATATTATAATCCAGTGAATTTGAATTAGCAAGCCAGCCCCTACAATATCTCTGCCCATGTTTAACATAGATATCATGTTGTAGCAGCAGGCTCCTGCTGTAACCACCTATCTTGTTGTCCTCTTTGATTCCCTGCTAATGTCATTGCAGTAAAATCTTATCTGCTCAAGTTGTGTTCCTAGCAGCCAGTCTAGTAGGAAATTGTAGACCCCCTCATGCCTTTGTTGTCATTTACATATGTTTTATGTATATATGTGTACATATGTTTCATCTACATGTCTGTTTTATACTACCCTTTAACAGAGCATAATATTTGTTCATTAGCTTTTTAGTTCTAATAATCTTGATTCAGACATAACTTGTGTGTGCAGGATTAACATACATAATTAACTCACAATTTTTTTTTAAAAAGATTTTATGTGTGATAATTAAATTAAGTTTTTTGGCCATGCTGAAGAATTGTAAACAAGACAATGGCAGAAGCTTGCTGCTGTTAACACTGTTTTAATTAAACTTGTTTTAAGTTTTACTGTATTTTAACTTAATTTGTTGAAACGAGAACCATTTACAGAATTGCAGAGGTTTTTCTCTTTTTGTTTTCTTTGACCTATTAATTTTGAAAAGAGGCATAACATTTTTTGTTATTGAGAGATAATGAAAGAGAAGAGTTAATGAAAAAGCAATGTTTTTACTAAAAGTTAATTTATACTAAATTTTATACTTGTATTGCTAATTAAAAACAAACTTATATACTGTTATTTAAACAAAAAGTTTGAATTTATTTACAATACTTTTGTAGAAATTTTTTGAATCTTATGTTAAAAATGAATATATACATTTAATAATGCTAACATTATTTCAGTGTCAGAATTAATATAAGTTTCTATTTGCATAGTAATTGTGAAGTATTTTATGCTAAAAATCACATTCAGGAAATACATGAAATCAAGCAGTGTGTAAACGTTATAGAAAGTTCTCTCCATTGTTTATACATTATTTGGGCTCTGATATGATTCACACAATGTTTCAAGATATGTCTTTTGTATATCTTGTCCATCATTTTTTTTGGGTTGTTATATTTAAAACAATAAACCACACCCTGTTAATTGTACATACGACATTGGTTGTTCAATTTTTAATTTTTATTCTGACTTTTATTTTTTTTGCTTGTGAACAAAACTATTTATTTTTTTAACGATAGAATTAGTAATGTAATCCATGCTTACTGTTGGTGTCTTGTCAAGTTTTTTTTTTCATGTAGGCTGATTAAAACGTGCTCAGTGGCTCATACAACTTGTAACAATAAAAAGAAAATGTTAACTAACAGTTCATTGTTTTGGTGATTCTTTTTCTTTTAATAGTTATTATGGTTTTTTTTTAATTCTTTTTTTTTGAGTTTTCTAATTATCATTTTTTCTATTTTTTTTTAAAAATAGTTTTTTAATTAGTTTTTTCTTGAAAAAATTTAACTTTCACATTCTGATGTTTATTAGAAACTTGATAACAAGAGATTAGGTCTACGCAAACCTTTCAAAAAGTTAATGTATGATTACAAACTTAAAAATCTTGAATTTATTATTTTTCTTGATGTCCTCTAGTTCATTCAGCTGCCATTAAAACCACAAATCCATTTTTAAAAATTAACTATTTAGTTACAATTCTTGTCTTACAACTCACAATCTACAACCTTTCACCAAGAAATTCCTTTGAATGAGTGCTTAAATTACATTCTGAGCCTCAAACAGTAAACAAAAAATTATAACAATCAAAATTATTTTCATAAAATAGATTTATTCTCTGATAAAAATGGATCTATAAGAATGTTTAAAAAAAATCACAGATAATTATGAGTGGATTTGTTAACATAAAACTGAATAAAAAATACACATGACCAGGCAATATCACAGGAAATGGAATGTAAAATTAACAAAGATATAATGCTTGTTTTGAATCTCCATATTGATGGGTAAATATTAACAAACATGATGTAATGATTGTCATTAAATTCTGACAATTAATTGTATAACTGTTGGAAAATTTAATACTATAACTAAAGCTGCAATCAATGCAATTTATTTACAGTAAAAAAGGTTATGACAAAAGCTTCATTTTACAAAACCTACTTTATACAAAAGAATAAAATAATATGCTGAAATTAATGCACATTTTCAGAAGACTTTACTTGCATTAATTACTATTATAGTGTTTAGTAGGCTACTAGTTTTAGCTTTACATTAAATAAATCACTTGGAAGCTCTTACACAATCAATATTTATGTTTTCAAAAAAGGTAAAGTAAAATTCACAGCAAAAGAAAATATCAAAATTTAAACCAAAAAGGTGAATTATGTGTAGCTCTAGGTCAATATTAATGCATATATCTATATTGATGTATAGATCTATATTGCAAATCATATTCTTTCAGATAGAGAATTTACACTAATGTCAATTTTTAAAATTACTGTACTAGTAATTTCAACTTATGTTGAAAAAGCAGTTAACTTGAGCTAATCATTATATTTTAAAATATGATGTACAAAAATTTACAAAACATTTTAATTTACAAATATTTCTTAAGTAATGTAGGCAGTACATTATTCATATTTTACTCTGCATGACATTTAATGTATGTTTTTCAACTTTTAAAAGTGTACACAGATCTAAAAAAGCTGTTAGTGGTATAAATGAACAAAACAAAAAAATGAATTTTTTTAATTAATAAATAGACTATAAATTACTCTGTTAAGCCTCTTCCTCAGGTACATGCAGCCTTTGATCTTTTTCTTCCTGATTATTATTTTTTTCTTTTTCTTGACCTTTAGAATGAGAATTATTCTTATGACCTTTATGACCTGTCTTATTTGAATCTAGATCCTGCTTGATCTTCTGCAACTTATCGTCTTGTTTTTTCCTCTGGTGCTGCAGAGTTTTCTCCCTGTCCATGATCTGGTTGGACCTTTTCTCTTTCATCTTGGACTCTATTTCAGCTTCGTGATCGAGCAGCATCTGTTGTCGTTGTTGCCTTTCTTTCCAACTCTCCTCCACCTGCAAAAATTTTTGTTAAACAGCTTACTGAAAGTTTGAAGTTTTATAAGTAATTAACCCAATATGTTAAGGGTCATACATAATAGAATTTCCACACTTGTTGGGGGTAGGGGGTACTGTTTCCTGTGTTAAGCTACATGAGGAGAGGAAGTCAAGAAATGTAACAAAAAAAAGGGTTTATTTTGTTTTTTCCCAATGACAAAAATGAAAAAAGTATTTATTTTGGGAAGATGTCCAAAGCACAGTTAATTTGGCATAGTTTGGGAATTTTTATCTGTCAAATACATTTTTAAAAATAATGTATCCACAATAAAGACAAAATACAATAAATAAGGCGAAACAAAAACAAACAGGTTGCCCATAAATATTTTTTTTTTTTAAATTGAATAAAAACAACACATAAATGTTGAAGTTAATACCTTTTTATCATGCTCTTCAATTCGTTTTCTTCTTTGTTCTTCCAATCTTCTGTTCAGCTCCAATTCTCGCTGTCTGATCTTTTCTACCAAAGGAGAATTTTGATTCGCCTGCAGTGAGTTTAAACATGAATAAATTAAAATAAACAGCTTTAAATATTTTCACATGGCCTACGAATCTCTTATCTGTATATTCACTTAATAAATCTTTGGCACATGTTAGTTTTGAATTAGTTGAATATGTCTACATTATAAATAATCACTTATGTTTTTCTTAAAATATTTGTTTTATTGCAAAAATATCAAATGAATGACTAACATAATAATTCATTTCTTGGTGTAAATAAAAAATCAATTTTGAAAATTCAGAGAAAATAAAACAACAACAAAAACAAATAACAGGTAACTCATAAGAAATGAGCAGTTAAAAAAAAAAAGAATAAAGAACTGCTACAATAATTAACAAACTTACAGCGCCATTTTGAGATTCTTTCTCTGAGTTGGTCTCTTGTGTGTTCTGATCCTGGTCATTCTGTGTGGAGTGAAGTCATCAAAAGATACAATTATGATCAGAATTTTTTTTGCTGCATATTAACTATCTGCATTGGCTTACTGGATACATAAGACATACAATATTGATTGGATGAAGTAACTAGTTGAATGATTTATTTTAATACAAACTAGTCAAATTATGGAAACAAGATTTTTCAAGTATAATTTGATTTAGATATTAATGGTTATTTTTATCCAACTTGTTTTCTTTTGTTTCCAAATTTGTTTGGTAGTGTCTGCTTTTTGCAACATTTTAAGTTTGGTAAAAAATCTCACTGGAAACACAAAGACTATTTCACTTACTTTTCGGTTATTTTTCTCTTTTTTCTTTGTGTTTTTTAGTTCATCGTTTGACCTGTACATCTGAAAAAAAATCAATACACTATAAAACTCAACCAATCACTGAATCAGCTTAGTTTTTACTCTTAAGTTTTTTTAATTTGTCTACCACTTTTTTTTTTATAATGATAAAAATATCATAAAAATGTTGCCTTAAAATTATTTTTAGCAGATAGCTGATAACTCAATCACCAACAATTACATTGTTGTTAAAGGTGTGATATTTGGTTAGTACCAGTATTGGTAACCATTATTAAAGCTTGGTTTTTATACATGAATTCATTAGGTTAAAATATTTTTTTAAAGAGTTTAGTCTCTTCTGAAAACGTCTTTGCACATTTGAGTTTAAGTTTTGGTATTTTAATAACATTAACAATTTATATAGGCTAGAACTAAACAATTATTTGACTTCTGTATGTGTTCAAGAACAGAGAGAAAATGAATAATATTTAACAATATACATTCTTAACTATCATATTACTTTAAATTAAAATGGCAAAATGGGCCTAAACAAAGAGAACAAAAACCTTACATCTAGTCTGTCTTCACTTTCTTTTCTTGGTGGCTCACTCATCGACTGCCGAATTCTTTCCTTTTTTTCCATTCTTTTTTTCTTGTGGATGCTCTGGGAAAAAAAAACATTTATTAAAAAAATAAAAAAAATAAAATAAAAGCAGAAACAGGCCTAAAATTATTGTTGTGATAGACAGAGGGTTTCGAATATTGGCCAGATATGCAAAGAGGCGTAGCGACCCTTCCCGGCGCCCGGGGACAAACTTTTCGATTTGCACCCCCCCCTCAAAATTTCGATTTGCACCCCCCTCAAACTTGTTTTGCAACCCCCCTCAAACTTTCAATTTGCACCCCCCTCAACCTATCAATTTATTTTTCCAACCCATTTTGGCACCCCCTAAGGTTGGCGCCCGGGGACATATGTCCCCCCGCCCCCCAACTCGCTACGCTACTGTTCACTGGTGAAAAGTTAAACTCCGCCACGATTTGCCAGCATTCAAACACAACCTTGACCTATTTCTGATGTCTAGACTTGAATATTTAAACGCACGCCGCAAAAACAACTTATTATCTGCTTATGGTTACATTGGTTAAGGTTGGGTTAGGATTTGGGTTAAACACTGACTAAAAGTACCCAGAGACATAACGAGGGGGGGGGGGGGTGCAGACCGGGTGACACCATTTAGGGGGGTGACACCAAGGCAAAAAATAGCAAAATATATAGAGAAAAACTTGAGAGGGGGTGCAAATCGAAAGTTTGAGGGGGGAGGGGGTGCAAATGAAAAGTTTGGGGGGGGGGGGGGTGCAAATCGAAAATTTGAAAGTTTGTCCCCGGAAGGGTCACTACGCCTCTGAGGGGTGACACCATTAAGTCAAAGTGCCGCACCGAGTGTAACCCGACCTCGCTACGCGACTGAAAGTACCAGTAACGCAATTTCCATATCCTTTTTATTCATTTTTATATTTTTAACTAAGGGGTCGTTCATAAATGACGTCACACTTGTAGGGGGGGGGGGGTCCGTAATTAACTCATTTTGTGACAGTTTGTAATGAGGGGAAGGGGGGATGACCCCCTAATCTTTTTCTGGGTGACGGGGGATAACATTTTAGCGGGATGTATCTGGGCAAGATTGGATAAACGAACTATTCAGGAATAGTAGGCCTATATTTTTGGTGACCAGCTCATTGACGTACACCCATAAATATAATCGCACTCTCACGTGACTACTCACCGGCCATTCCAAGAAAAATCTGTTGGTGTTTTCCTCCTCAATCCTCTTTTCTTGTTTCTTCAGCAGCGAGAACTCCGTCACACTGCGATACCGGATGTACTCCCTGAGGATAAAAACCAGGCAAATGAAATAGCATAAATCTCAGGTCCCAACTCTAACACACCATTATTAAACCCTATCACACTAACCCACCCTTATTCAGAGGCGTAGCAATCCTTTCCGGCGCCCTGGGCTAACTGTCGATTTTGCGCCCCCCTTTCGCATTTATTTATAAATTTTCACGGTGAAGAAAAAGCACCCCCCCTTCCATTTGGAAAGGTTGTTGGCGCCTTTTACCTGTAACTGTCCTTAAAAAATATTTTAACGTAATGTAAAAAAAGTGATGTAGAAAACAGCTAAACCCGTTCAGCAGAGCGAAGCAGTAGTCTATTTTCTTAACTTCGACTGTGTATCATTAACTAATGCAGATCAGGATGTGCTTTTTCTTATTTTTTTTCTACTCCATATGGCGCCTTCGGCGGTATCCCCATGCATTGCGGCCACCCCACCCATTGTGGCCGCCCAACCCGTTCCCCCCTCCCGAGCTACGCCTCAGCCCTTACTAGTATAAATGCATTTTTTTCAGGCATCTTTTGTGGTAGGAGGGGGGGGGGGGGAGGATGGGCAGTGCCGGTGCCAGGTTATTTAGCGCCCTAGGCAAAACTTTTCAAAACGCCCCCTTTCACACAAATTAATTACTAAAACATATGTAAAAGAAAATAATTAATTAAAAGTGATATACTAATTTATTATAAGTAGACATGAAACTCAAATTTTACTTGCCTCTTTCGTCGTAAAAGTTTATACTAATTCATTCGATTCCAGTTTGCAAGCATAATCATATTCTATTGAAATTGTTGCAAAGTCCACGAGACTACTTTGTACTTTACGACAATGACCCCCCCCCCCTTTTTTTTTAGAAAATCCCCACCCCCCTCTCCCGGGGGGAAAAAAGTCTGAAAAAAAAAGCATAGTTTTTCTAGTGTTGGGCTCTTTGCAGACCTCCCTTGATGAGTTCCAGAAACTTACCTGTTTTAAGCTTGACTGTCTTTAGTTATAATTGTAAAATGTCTGCATTATGTGATTATGTAACGATTTTTTTGTTTTTGAAAAATAAAAGTTTGTAAATGTTATAGATTCCAGCATACAATTGTTACATATGAATCCTTTAGGAGAGGGCGAAAAATATGAAAAAAGCACATAATTAATTAGATGATTAATTTGCGACTAAGACGATTTTATACGCATTTATTGCACTATCTCATAATGTATATCTACTAACATTAAGTATTGCAATCTACAACGGCTGCTAATGTGATTGTTTTTCTACATGATAATGCTTAAAAAAACCTACCAAACTATTTTGTTTAAAACTTCTGCTATATATAATTTTTGCAATAGCAAATGCTAACTTAAAGTTGTATTTATAAGTAAGCTTTAGACATAAGGTGCAGGAATTTGAAATGAATGTAAAGTTAAGGAACGAATTCTCTCCCATTTGGAAATTCAAATACTAAAATTCTATTTAGGGGAAATAACTTTCACAAGAGTAGCTAAATTAACCTAGTGTAACTAAGACATTCTTGAAAAATACAAGAAAACGATCTAAATTTCATTACATAATAATTATAATAAATCTTTTATATTAGTTATGTAACACTGTCAAAAGAATATATTTTACTGATTGACTACTTAACTGTAGGTTTTGTTTGAAAGTCTAAATACGCTAGCTTTATTATAACATACTTCTATTTCAATTTTGATGACATACATTGAACTGCATTTTCTCGGCTCTGTGAAAACATAGTAAAATACTACTTTTTCTTACAAAATATTTTTAATAGATCAGATAAATGAAAACAAATAAATTAAATTAAATTTAAAAAAAAATTGAATTTCCAAACTAAAATTCAAATACGGTTAACTGTTTAAGACATTGCTGTAATTATCGATAAAATCTAAAAAAAATTATAATTAAAAAAAAAACAACAAAGTTTACGGTTAGTTATAAATTATAGCCTATATAATATTATATATTAAAACTTTAAGAGTGGTAATTTAGATTCCTAAAAAAAAACTAAAGATCTCTTTGTAGTGTGTTCGTATAAAAAATACGACACTTTAACACTTCGATACTTTATACCTACGAAACCTTATCAGCAACAGCTTTCCGCCGTTACTCCCATATCTAAACGATTCATCAAAACTTACCAAACAAGTACAATATTTTGAACATCCCTATACACCAGGACAGATTTCTAATTCAAAGTAAGAGAAAACGAGACTTACAAGCCCTATTAAAAACCAAAATTGCACGTGTTTTGGAACGTCCCGTCATGCGCTGGAGCGATCTCTAAATCAACATTAAAATTAGATAACCGTTTGGAATGTTCGAAATTTAAATTACGAACATATCGTTTTCTACATCAATTATGTGACACCAACATAAAAAGGCAAAGTGACTGGTAAAAAGCGCCCCGACCTTTCTAAATAAGGGAAGTGACATCGCGAATAAATATAGGCCTATATAGAATTTTGGGGTGGGGGAGGGTGCAAAATTGATAGTTCGTCCTGGGCGACGAAATAGATCGCTTCTCCTTTGTATATTACCATCTGTAGTTTATAAAAGATAATCAAAGTTATTGATTATTAGGTACTTTTTGATAATAGCTATTAAACCTTTTTGCGCCCCCTAGGGATGGCGCCCTAGGCGACAGCCTAGTTCGCCTTCTAGGTAGCGCCGGCCTGAGGGGGGGGGGGGGGCACCAGTAGCGTAGCGAGGGGGGGGGGGGGGGGGGGGGGTGGGCGGGGGTGGCATATGTCCCCGGGGGCCGACCTTAGGGGGCGCCGAAATGGGTTGGAAAAATAAATTGAAAGGTTGAGAGGGGTGCAAATCGAAAGTTTGAGGGGGGGGGGGGGGTGGTGCAAATCGAAAAGTTTGTCCCCGGGCGCCGGGAAGGGTCGCTACGCCTCTGGGGGCACCGAGACTCCTCTCGATGCACGCTCCCCCTCGAACAAAATTGAACTTATATACAAAATAGATACTTCAAGTTTTGACTTCAACCAGTGTCCGCCCTCCTCCCGTCCAATCCCTCGGAAAGTTGCAAGTGCTCCCCCTCCCTCCCCCGGAGAAAAATGTCTAAAAGAAACACTAGAAGGAGAGAGCTCTATAACCCCCTAACACCCCTGCCTACATCACTGAATAGTGGCCATAGGCAGTGGCGTAGCGAGGTCGGGTGTCACCCGGCGCGGCACGTAATGGTGTCACTCCCAGAGCGTAGCGACCCTTCCCGGGGACAAACTTTCAAATTTTCCATTTGCACCCCCCCCCCCCCCCCCCTCAAACTTTCGATTTGCACCCCCCCCTCAAGTTTTTCTCTATATATTTTACTATTTTTTGCCTTGGTGTCATCCCCCTAAATGGTGTCACCCGGTGCGGTCAGCACCCCCGCCCCCCCCCCTCGCTACGTTTCTGACCATAGGCATTTTCTTTATTATCATCAATTTAATTCGGACTTGCCTAGATAACAAATTCTTGTTCGATTGCACAATGGTAAGATTTTTTTTTTAAAAAGGGAAATAATCGTAAAGCAACAATGCATGAACTATTTGGTAAAATTACGACCCATGAAGGTTTTTAAATATGAACCACTTCCTCCCCTCAAACAACAAGCCGGCCTACCTGTATTCATTGAATTCCTTAACGCTGCATTTGATTTCCCCATTGTCGGTCACTAGACCGTTGTCCACCAGGTGTCGCCTCGTCTTGGGGGAGTTGAAGTAGAACTTGAGGGACGGGTCTGTCAGTGAGTCGTAGCCCCCGGGCGCTTCCCGACCCTGGGGGTTGCTTAAGTCGAAGTCGTAGTGCTGGAAGGATTTGTACTTGGGTTCACCGATCTGATGGCAAAAAGAAAATTGTGTTAAATAAACCGGGAGTGATCTCCCCTAAACTTTCTCGAATATTCTTATATAACTTGAAATATAGACATGCTTTTTAATTACTTAAACTTCTAAAAATAGAATAGGATCTCATAGAAAAAAGAATTGCGCACCAAGCGAACGCCAAAACAAAATGTGCATAATAGTGTGCAATATTATTAGTAGGCCTACTTTATAAATTTACATGCGTTTTTTTGAGAAATCAAAAATAGCGTAAATTAGTACTTCCGGTCCCCGGAAATTACTCAAAATTTGATAGAAGGTAGAGAATTAGATCTTTTACTTACGTGTGAAATTTCATTTATCTATCTGAAATAGTACTCAAGTTATAGGCTTTTGAAAAATTCAAAGTAGAAAAAGTACCACTTCCGGTTATCGGAAATCGCTCAAAAGTTGATACGGATCTACGATTTTGATAAAATACTTATATATAAAATTTCATCAACCTAGCTGTAACGGTACTCAAGTTATCGTGTTTACACACACACACACACACACACACACACACACACACACACACACAGACACACAGACATACGGACAAGATTGCAAAATTATGTTTTTCCGTATTAGGGAGGTGTAAAACGTCGAGATTTGTAAAAATCTCGATTGTTTTTTGCACGTGTACTAGACTTTCTCTATACTTCGTATATACGAGAAAGTAAAAAAGGATTTATACTTGGTACTTGGGTTCACCGATCTGATGGTAAATAGAAAATAGAAAAATTGTGTTGAAAAAAAAAAGTTTTGCTGGTGCTAGACTAGAATTTATCAACTTGCCATCGCAAATCATACATTTAGGACGCTGACTCCCATTAAGTTACGTTATACATGTGAATCCTTATTTTACGACCACTTTCTTTTTCAACCCTGTTTCTGTGCACACCAGCCTCTACTTTCCCTAACGTGAGTTAGGTACCCATCAGAGCGGATTCGAACTCGAGACTTATGGGTTAGCCGTTCAGCTCTCTACCGCTAGGCCACTCAGTCCCATAGTAAGTTTGAAGGGGTTAAAATATTAAGTAAGAAATCACGGGAGGTACAACCACGGCAGTCACAAGTCCAGAGTTTCTTCCAGGCATCTCTTCGCCCCCCCCCCCCTCCAAAAAATTCTACCGCCCCCCCCCCCCCGAACAAAATGAAATGTATATAATTTATATAGAAAATATATACTTTTAACAGTGTCCGCCCCCCCCCCCCCTTCCCGAAGAAAGTCTACCGCCCCCCCCCCCCCGCCCCCGAAAATTTCAAGTGCCCCCCCTCGGAGAAAAAAGTCGGAAAGAAACACTGCCTAGGTTCGTTCACGAAGTTGGACTTGTTGTCTAAATCCTGCACCATATTCTCAATTAAGAACGAAGAAGAAGAAAGAAGAACTGCCTATGTGTGACGCCTAGGTGTGACGTCTTTTATAGCCGCATACAACTGACAAAAAAATTTACCCGAATGTACCCGCACCCATAACAAAGAATGACGTGACACTTACTTTATTGGTGTACAACGTGAAGCTACCCCTGGGGCTGGGAGGCACGGGAAGCTTGGTGTCCAGCGATACCCTGGCCCACACTGGCAGCGTGTCCCCGGCAGGGAGAAACGTCTTGGCGAAAATTTTCTGGCGCCTGGGTAGTGCCAGGAGTTCTATGTGCGAGACTGGAAGAGAATGGATAATTAAATACATTAAAAAACATTGGTAATAAACAAGCTTTCATGTATGCACTTAAAACAAAGATAATATGGATTTTTTTTAACTAGGGGTCGTCCATAAATGACGTCACACTCGTAGGTGGGAAGGTTTTTTTTGTGACGGTGTGTGATGAGGGGAGGGGGGGGGGGGGGTTCAGATAGTGTGACGTCACATATTTGCATAATTTAAAAAAGCAATGTTAGAAAACGAATTTTAGACGTTATTTCGCGTTTTAGTAAACTGTTTTAATAAATTGTAATAGGAATTGATTAAACTACTCCGTTGACAGAGTTCAGACAAGATTTTGGAAAAATATCGTATTAAAAAAAATTCAACTGCAATTTTGAGGCAAAAAAAGCGTGAAGTCATTTATGGATAACCCCCCCCCCCCCCTATAATCTTCTTCTTCGTTCTGAATTTTAGTGTTGGAGGATGTTAAGTATTACGTGTCAACTCGTTCTGCGCCTAAAGGTGCTTGACTCCGATTTCAGCCTGCTTTTCTTTATGAATTTGAAGAGAGAAAGGAAGATGAAAAATCTTTTAAAATGGATTATATACATATTATATAGCCTACGAGTGGATGTGGATTGGGAAAAGGGGACTACCCCAAGACATTGTCCTGCCAGAGGTGTAGCTAGGGGAGGGCGGGTGGGGAGGCCGACCCGGGCGGGGGCCACAAACGGGGTAAAAAAAATAAAAAAGCTCAATCTGAGCTGCGTCACTGAATTATACAGTCTAAATTTAGAAAAATAGAATACTTGGCTTTACAGACGGTTTTATCTGTTTTCTGCATTAATTGTTTGACACCAAAATAAAAATAAAAATACCCACCATAATAGCAGTTGGAAAGGTTGGGTGCGCATTTTACCAATCACTATAATAGCAGATTGGTAAAATTCGCATTCAAACTTTTTCAAACTTAAGTTGGGGGGGGGGGGGGGTGGGGTGGGGCGGAAGGGAGGGGAGGAGGGGCTTTTTGCCAACTTGATAAACTATATATAAATTGGGAGGAAAGGACGCAACATTAATAGTTCGCTACTCTTCTGTGTCGTCGGTTTCTTAATCTTTTAATATCCCAGCCCCTGTGCACCTATGACCCCAACGGTAAAAAGATAAGAAAATCCCGATCTCAAATAAAACAGTTGATCGTCTCCTGCTTTCAATAGCCCCATTTAATATTCCGTAAGTCTTTTCTAGTAGATAAAACATGTTTGACTACACTACCAATCTGTTTTTAATGATAAGGCGATCTCGTAAAGATTACAAAGAAACTTTCTATTGTTACCGTACAAAGCACATTCTACTCTAGATCTTCACACTACTTCTACACTGGTGCCTTGACTTATCCAGCTCATGGCATTAGCTGATATCAATAGTATCAATATTTATTTGGAAAACAACAATGGGTAGGTTATAGTTGCTTTTAATCCCGGAATTTAACCATAAATGTAGCATTGATTCGGATCTTATCGAAGAGCGCACCTACATACTACATAAATAGATACTTTGTAGAGGTAGTATCGCAAATAACGATACTAAAGGCAATGAGTTAAGATTTAAGATTCGTTGCAGGTTTGAGACTGAGGTATCGCACCAACGATCAATAGGCCAAGTTAACAAATGTATCAATTTGGTTTTTATTCGGGGAACGGTGTGGCCTAGCGGTAGAGCCTTGACGGGTACCCTACTCATGTTGGCAGATGAGCATTTTGCTGACCAAACTATCCCTTCATATGCCGAGGTCTCTCCACCCCCTCCAACCCCCCCCCCCCCCCCCCACAAAGAGATGTCTGGAAGAAACACTTCTTGGGCACCAACAAAAAGATGAATAGTTTTAAATAGATTTAAAACGTAGCCCTCACGTTTAAACGTGCATTAGAGTCTAGCTTTATTTAGAAAAGAATCAGCAAGCACATATATAGAAAGTAACTCATCATGTAAAATAATGGCAACCTACAAAATTGATAACAAAGCGTCCAACAAACCTACAATTGGGTCCCAACATTATAAACGATTAAAACATCCCTAATATCGTGATAATTAAATCATTATATTAAAGACTAAATATTCTATAAACTTGGTAATTATTTGAAGGAAGGCGTGACCCAGAGGTAGAGCGTTTGACTACTAACCCAAAAGTTTTAGATCCATCCAACCTTAATGGGTATCCAACTCACTTAAGCGAAAATAAAGGCGGCTGGGCATGGTGCTGACCATACTAATCCTTTATATGCCGAGGTCACAGAATAACGTCTACAGCCCAACCCCTCCCGAACAAAATACAATGTATATAGACAATAAATTTCCTAAGTACCAAAATATATTGTTGAGATTTAATTATTATTAATGATTAACAACATTTGCACAAGCTATATCAACATTTAACGGTCGCAACCTGAAACCCATTCATAACATTATAACCCAAGTGTTCATATTACAGACACAGACTTTGTCACACGAACACTAGCTGACAATCATCAGCAACGTGTTAATTAATTAATCTCGTCAGTTGAGTGATTAGCCATTGTGGAGCACACAATCGCAGCTCATGTGTGACGCAGTGTGTCCATATTGCGGTTTCAGACCAAGGGGGGTAATCAATGCGAACCATAACCTTCGAGTAGATGTAGCAGTTTAAAATTTTGTTTTGCTTCAGTAGCAGTTTAAAATTTGTTTTGCTTCAGACTGAAGTAATTCGTTTAACCAATGGGTAACGGGTTACGAAGTGCACGTAAAAATATATTTCCCCTGTGTAGACGATGTGACAAATGGATGGGATTAAAGCCTCAACGAATCTCGTGCAGAGGCATAGTTGAGGGGGGGGGGGGCGGGGTGAGTGGTTTGGGGGGGGGGGGGATGAGGGCAGCCACACTGCATTACAGATTTTATACATAGTCGAAATAAAAATTGACACACACATGCAGTGGCGTAGCGAAGGGGGGGGGGGGTGCGGACCGCACCGGTGACACCATTTAGGGGGGGTGACACTAAGGCAAAAAAATAGCAAATATATAGAGAAAAATTATAATTCCACTTAATTAAGTGACTAAGTCGAGTCTTTTAAGAGGTGCAAATCGAAAGTTGAGGGTTGGGGGTGCAAATCGAAAATTGAAAGTTGTCCCCGGGAAGGGTCGCTACGCCTCTGAGGGGTGACACCATTAAGTGCCGCACCGGGTGACACCCGACCTCGCTACGCCACTGTATACATGGTATTTAAAAATGATTTTTATTATTCTTCTATATCGATTGTTAGCACTAGATGTATGATCTATATGCACGCGGCCCTATTTTTAAAAAAAATTCATTTCGAATTATAACACTGTAAAACTCACCAATTTTTTTACGTAGCAGTTTAAAAACGGAATGTTGGTACGTAAATTTTAGTTACATAAAAGTTATATTAATTATGTATCACATTCTACTTAAAAAAAAAAAAAACACACGTAAATTTGCAATTAAAAAAAAATTGCAAAAAGAAAAACAACCTTACGCAAATTAAAATACTGTAAGTTAAAAATAAACTAATTGTTAAATATTAGCATATGTGTCGCTAAAATTAATTTACCGAAAAAGAAACAAACATAGTAAAAAAAAACATGCTAACAAAAAATGAATGTATTGTATTGTCTTAAAGCAGCTCTATACTCTATCCACCTAAAATACTTCAACGATCTTGCTGAAGACGGGAGTAGCTTTGCTTCTATTTCTATTTCTAATCATTCTATTACTCACCTTCACCCATTTTATAAACACAAAAAGAGTCCCAGAATTCCTCAGAACAACTTTTCTCTCACTCTCTAAGCAAATAAAGAGGAACAAAAAATGAATAGATTAGCCCGTAGCTCAGAACACACACGAAGTCAGATTCAACTATTGAATATTCAACTCGAATTAAAACCGACGGAAGTTTAAGTAAACATAAGGTATCCTCCTGTGAAATTTACGACCAACTCAAAAATTATTTGACATGCAGTTTGAAAATTGTTCTGGTTGACAAGAAGACAATCACAGTTTTTCTTACGCGGGGCTGATCGTATGTTCCATAGCCCGTGCTTATAAACTCGGACCAATAGAAATGACACCGGTTGGCGTGACGTTGACGGGCGAATAGACACAACATACGAATTTGGGGTTTCTTTTTTACGTGGATTGTGTAACTATAACGCAGGCATAGCGGGGGAACACACGCGAGTTATTGCTCTTGTTGTCAAGCAGTTTTAAAACAAAAAACTTTTTTAACATATGCTAATAATTGAAAACATAGTTGTCTGTCTGGTATTCTTATTAAAGTATTTTTTTTTCTAGAATTTTTTCAATAATGCGCATGCCTTGGATTAATTTGATATACAATTTTTTTTTTAAATAAAAAAAAAAGGAGAGGGGTGGGGGTCACAATAGAGTAGATACGGCAGTGTATTTGGCAAGGGTAGTCGTATGCTATTGGATAATAGCATTTTATTAATCATTTTTTGAGATGGCGAGGGGGGGGGGGGGGGTGTCAATTATTAATGACGTCAGGCTTTTTTAGTTGAGTGTTTTACCCTTTAACGTCACATGTCGTCACAAAAGCTGCCCCCCCCCTCACATTACAATACAGTCGTTATTATAATAACAAATAATTTTATTTTTTAATTTAATAAATACAGATTAATGCTTCTTTACACTTTTTAAAGGCGCCCCCCCCCCCTCCACCCGTCACGAAAATTTGAACCGACCCTTCAGTGCCGGCGCCAGGTTATTTATCGCACTGGGCAAAACTTACTAAAAGCGCCCCCCCCCCCCGCAATTTTTTTCGTGCCCCCGTATTATCAGAGGCGTAGCAACCTTTCCCGGCGCCCCCTTCAAACTTTCGATTTGCACCCCCCTCAAACTTTCAATTTGATTTTCCAACCCATTTTGGCGCCCCCCTACGGACAGCGCCCTAGGCGACCGCCTAGTTTCGCCTTATAGGTAGCGCCGACCCTGCGTCCCTTCCACAAAAGTCGTTTATGTAAGATCCCCCCCTACCCTTCCCTTTTTTGCGACACTAACGATTGGAGCTAGACAAATTAAATGTATACAAACAATAGTTACCCACTGTATAATTGTTTTAATTTTTGTGTGCCAGTATAATTCCTATTTGCAGACATGCTATTTTAATTGGATTTGAGAACAATGGTGTGCTGCTACTAGGTTCAGAATTTGATTGAGGCTGACCTTTAATTAAGACAAGGTTATCAATTTAGGCATTCTATTGATTAAAGACTGGTTGCCCAAACATTGGTCTACTGGCCTACACGAAGCTGAAAAAGACAAGAGTAATGTAAACTTCCAAAACCAATGTTCAATGTTTATAACTGTTCTTTTGCAGATGAAGCAGAGTCCATGTGTTTTGATTACATGCGGAAATGAAAGGCTTATACGGGTAAATCTTTGCTCAGCTTTCTGTGCTTTCCGACTAGAGCCAGGTACTGTTTAGAGCTGGGTAGACTCAACGTCCTACTGTCTGAAATTCAGGAATGGAACTTGGGCCTTTCTATTTGATGCACAAGGATATTATGTTACTATATTTTAAAATAATCACTTTGAGCCATTGATATTAGTTTAAAATTAAAAAAACAGGCGTTGTTTTAAAATGAAGAAAATAGAAAACTTGGAATGGCAAAATTTGGAAATAATTTGTTTTTGTTAGTTTATTTCAAGTTTTTAATTTAGAGTATGACGTTGATGAAATATATATATATATATATATATATATATATATATATATATATATATATATAGTTGAGCTAGTACTGTTATGAGACTCAAATAAAAAAAATTATTACCTAACCAGCTTTTCTTTCAGACTTCTTTTCTGGGGGGGGGGGGGGGGGGGGCTAAAATTTCCGGAGGGGCAGACACTAGAAAAAGTATATATTTTCTATATAAATTCTATTTGTTCGGGGGGCGGTATACGTGCTTTGGGAGGGGGGGGGGGGCGGTGGACGTAACAATATAAGAGTAAAGTTTTAATTAAAGTAGGCATGCGTCAGAGCATGACTCGAACCAGAAGATAGAGGTTATGCAGCTCTTTTAAGTCAGAGTCAGCCAACAGAGTCGTGACGCGAGTCAGCAGACGTGACTCCTGTATTCAATGAACTCAGACACCACGTGACCAGACGTGTAAAATACGGTGGCTAGCCTGACATGTCTTTGAATAACACAGCTTAAAATATTCCCTCCAATGCAAATCACTTGACTATGGGGGCTTGAAATAAACGGGAATAAACAAAACCCCACAATTTAAACAGTATCCGCGATTTTTAAAGCTGGCTGCTACCTCTATACAACTAAATTCTATTCCAGGATTAAGTCCCGTTGCTTCTTCAAACAAGTGTATCTATCAATCTCTAATCCCCTTATTAACGCTCCGAGCTTGATCGATGAATGGGAATTGACCGGGAATCGATAATCGATCAAGCAGATTCGCCCAGTTATGGTTCCAGGGATTAAAAATCGCAATTAATTTAGCCTCGCGAACCAATGGCAGATTATGGACGTCTGGATGGTGGCGAAAATAAAATGGTTGCCTCCTCTTTCATTTGGCGGTGTCGGGTGTAGTGACATTAGTTGAGTGCGCAAGTTGCGAGTGAGGTTTTATTGTGCAGGCCGGTCCGGTAACTATGTGAAGTTTGCAAACATATGACGTAAGCATAGGTTTAAATTCACTACCGCAAATTAGTCACCCTTCAGTGATCCCAAATCAACCATTCAGTACTCCCAAGTCACCATTCAGTACTCCCAAGTCACCATTCATTACTTTCAAGTCACCATTCAGTACTCCCAAGCCACTATTAAGTACTTCCACCAGACACCATTCAGTACTCCCAAGTCACCATTCAGTACCTCCAAGTCTCCATTATGTACTTCCACCAGACACCATTTCAGTACTCCCAAGTCACCATGTCAGTACCTCCAAGTCACCATTAAGTACTTCCACCAGACACCATTCAGTACTCCCATAGTCACCATTCAGTACTTACAAGTCACCATTAAGTACTTCCACCAGGCACCATTCAGTACCGTCAACCAATCACAATTCAGTACTCCCAAGTCACCAGTCATTACTTTCAGGTCACCATTCACCACCTCCTCCCGTCACCATTTATCACCTGTTCCACTCAATTCCTTTACAGTCACCATTCACTACTTCCAATAGTCACAATTCACTACCTGAGCAAGACACCAGTCACTAGTCACCTCTTCAATCGGGTCACCACCTGCACCAATCACCCACCTCAACCAAATCACCTCCTCATCCAATCACCATCCAACCAATCACCACCTCAACCAATCACCACCTCATCCAATCACCACATCATCCAATCACCCTACCCAACTTATCACCTACATCATCCAATCACCACCTCATCCAATCACCACCTCAACCAATCACCACCTCATCCAATCATTACCTCATCCAATCACCACCCAACTTATCACCACCTCAACCAATCACCACCTCAACCCAATCACCACCTCAACCAATCACCACCTCAACCTATCACCTCCTCAACCAATCACCACCCAACCAATCACCACCTCAACCAATCACCACCTTCAACCATCACCACCCAACCAATCACCACGTCATCCAATCACCACGTCATCCAATCACCACCTCTAACCAATCACCACCCAACCAATCACCACCCAACCAATCACCACCTCAACCAATCACCACCTCAACCTATCACCTCCTCAACCAATCACCACCCAACCAATCACCACCTTAACCAATCACCACCTCATCCAATCACCACCTCAACCAATCACCACCTCAACCAATCACCACCTCAACCAATCACCACCTCAACCAATCACCACCTCAACCAATCACCACCTCAACCAATCACCACCTCAATTAAATCACCACCTCATCCAATCACCATCCAACGAATCACCACCTCATCCAATCACCACCCAACCAACCACCACCTCAACCAATCACCACCTCAACCTATCACCTCCTCAACCAATCACCACCCAACCAATCACCACCTTAACCAATCACCACCTCATCCAATCACCACCTCAACCAATCACCACCTCAACCAATCACCACCTCAACCAATCACCACCTCAACCAATCACCACCTCAACCAATCACCACCTCAACCAATCACCACCTCAATAAATCACCACCTCATCCAATCACCATCCAACCAATCACCACCTTATCCAATCACCACCTCAACCAATCACCACCTTATCCAATCACCACCCAACTTATCACCACCCTCATGCAATTACCATCCCATTATCCCACAAATATCGCTTCAAACCATAATCCATACGCGCTAAAGCCCCATAGCCTTATATGGCCATTATAACAAGATTACGCATTAGAATTCAAGCACAGAGCCTAGGCGTTAAGATGAGTAGAACAGATGTTGGCCATGTATCAACCCCCCCCCCCCCCCACTTCTCTCCACACAACTGATTGACCCAAGGGACAGGACGTTACCTTTACAAATTAAAACCAGTAGTGCCGCAGGAGCTGCCGTAAGGAAATATAGTTGGTAATCCTATCGCCTAATGGGCTCTACTCCTGTTTGTTTTTCGGAGTTGTCTCTCCTCGATGGGGTTGCTCTCCCCTGCTAACTAGCCTCATCTGCCTGAGGGTTCAAACTGGGGACCTCCGGGTTTAGACACTGGGCGTTTATCTATATATATTTATTTATAATTCTCTTCTGGGAGTCGTTAGAAAACAAGCTGCAAGCGCGCTCCCTACCCACCCCCACCCCTACATGATCTGGTGAGCTGTGTTCACGCTAAATGTTTACATTCGTAGATTAGGCTATTAGGGGCAGATAATTTAGTTTGAAACGATTTTGAACTTAGGGGAGGTAACTAAGAGGAGGCTGCTTTCATGGGGGAGGGGGGGGGGGGTGGGGGGGAGGGTTTAGTGACGGCTATTAGGGGCAGATAATTTAGTTTGAAACGATTTTGACTTAGGGGAGGTAACTAAGAGGAGGCTGCTTTCATGGGGGGGGGGGGGGGGGTAGGGTAGGGGTTGGGTAGGGGTTGTGGAAAGGGGGGGTGGGGGTAGGGGTTTGTGGGAAAGGA